TGCTGGTGTTGGTGTTGGTGCTGGTGCTCGTGCTGGTGCTGGTGCTGGTGCTGGTGCTAGTGCTGGACTGTTGGTGCTGGTGTTGGTGTTGGTGCTGGTGCTCGTGCTGGTGCTGGTGCTGGTGCTGGTGCTAGTGCTGGACTGTTGGTGCTGGTGTTGGTGTTGGTGCTGGTGCTCGTGCTGGTGCTGGTGCTGGTGCTGGTGCTAGTGCTGGACTGTTGGTGCTGGTGTTGGTGTTGGTGCTGGTGCTGGTGCTGGTGCTGGTGCTGGTGCTAGTGCTAGTGCTGGACTGTTGGTGCTGGTGTTGGTGTTGGTGCTGGTGCTGGTGTTGGTGCTGGTGCTGGTGCTGGTGCTGGTACTGGTGTTGGTGCTGGTGCTGGTGCTGGTGTTGGTAAATCACAATCGTACGCCGTTCCTAGACGGGTGTCTCCAGTGATTGCCCGGGTGCAGAGCACGACACTGGGACACGCTGCTGAGGCCAATATTTGCGTTGCGTTGACCTACTGGAACCTGCTTCCATGTATAGCCCGCGTCCGCGTCGTGTTCCACGCTGTAATAAACACCTAACATCATCGTTATTCCTCCCGACTCCCTGAACTTATCCCTATTCGTTAGTCCAAACGTGCAAAGCCTACTGTGGTGACATGGCGTGCACTCTGACCGCACAGCGTCAGGTTGCCTGGCGACTCTATATATATATATATATACAGTGTTATACACTGCGGGTGACGAATGACTAATGTCACATAATTCTGCTGGATATTGTGTATGAAGTGTAATAAACGCGTTTAGGCGGCTCTCTCTCTCGCTCTCTCTCCGGCTTTCTGCTAGACGTAACGCATCCTGCAGAATGCCGATGCGCCAGACAATCTGCTGCTTTCTCCTTAATTACATATCACGTGATTGGCTGCCGTCTGTCTGTAATAGCTCTGTAAATTTTAACTAAAAGTCGCGGAAAGCTTTCCTACGGTCGTTGCCGATTGATGGATTTCCTTTGCGGCGTACACGGAGCTATAACTCATAGACGGCGGGGAAAGTGTTCCTGAGTCAGATCAGTTGATTTCATGTTTGGCTGTGGTGTGTGTTTGTGTGTAGCGCGTGCATGTGCGTGTGCGTGTGGCGAGTATCTGTTTATGTGCGTGCGTGCGTGCGTGCATTCGTTGTGCGTACGCGCTGTGTGTGGGCACGCGTGCCTGTCTCTATAGGCGTACGTGTGCGCGTGCGTGCATGGCGTGCGTGCGTGCGCGCGCTAAAATGCGTACGAGTGTGAAACAGTGTAATCTGATCGACGGTGTGTGCATGGAGACGGACAGTAGCTGCAGGATGCCGACGAGAGAGAGAGAGAGTTGGTTTGATGTTAGTATGACGATACGATGCTGCGGTGT